CTTCGGAGCTGCTAGCAGCTTCCTGTATGTTCTACTTACAAATACCAGAACTTCAGCAAAAAAATGGAGAAGTTGTTCAGAGGAAACAGTTAGCCATTTTCAGATCTTTTTTAAAGCCTAGCATTCAGTGTCAAACCATGTATGTGGATCATGAAGCTTCGGATATCTGGAACTGATGTTGTTTACCACAACCTAGCCTAGCCACTTAGCTAAACCATCAAATCTAAAGCAAGCTTCAATTCATGACGCTTCTAATACAGAAGCTCCAAGAAGGGTTATGGTGAGAAATGCAAGTCAATGTCTACTTACATGGGACTCATTTTAGTCTATATTTTCAAGCTCCAGATAAAGAATCTTGATTGTTGGTAGTGTTTGAAATATCCACTCACCCAAGTCAAGTGGTACCTCGGGCCTGGTGAGAAGGGTACCTACCCCATCAATTTCTACAGTACTAAAGGTTAAAAACTAAGGGTCAGATTTTCATCTGTTGGTAATCTGTGCAACACTGACTTCAATGGGGCTACTACCCTGATTTACACCAGCTAAGAATCTGGCCTTAGAGTTTACAGTTTTTATGATTTTGGGGGGGAATGGGGGAACAAAAAAGTATCTATAGGGCTGGCCTTCTCACCAAGGTGCTCCTGGAGCTCAGTGGCATAGCTCTGGATCCTCCTCTTTTGTGTCTTTCTTGGCTAGTAGTAAATCTGGTAAATTTCACGCCCGGACTGACAATACCTCCTCTCTCTTCTAGGCCATGAAACAGTTTTGTTATTTTTCTCAACAATGAGAGACTGGTGGTTGTTCCTAGCTACATCTACAACACTAAGGGTACCAAAAAGCTCCCTATTGTTCAGGGTTCATATTGTGTAACTGATTGTAGGTGGAACATCCCTGGCTGCTCTTCCTTTCTGAATGCTCACTGCCTTATCTACAAGTAGCGAGAGTCGACTTTGGCTGGAAAGATGCAGACTTAGGCCTTGTCTACACTGCCACTTTACAGCACTGGGGTGTGAAAATACACCCCCCCCCCCGAGCGATGCAAGTTTCAGCGCTGTAAAATGGCAGTGTAGACAGTGCACCAGCGTTGGTAGCTACTCCCCTCATGGGGACGGGTTTTTATCAGTGCTGGGAGAGCTCTCTCTTAGCACTGGTCCCGCGACTACACAGCCAAGCGGAGCTTTAATGTTGGTAGTGAAGACATACCCATAGTTCATTCTACAAAAAGTGCTCTTTCCTGTGAGATGTTAAAAGCTTAACTGAATTTGCTGGACTTGGTGGTGTTTATTAAGTGCTAATAGGGGGGATAAAAGCACCCCAACAAGAGACCTAAATATCCAGGGCCCATTCTCTGAACAAGCCCAGATAATCCTGTTTCATCCAGTAACTAATCCTGGGCCCATTCAAGTCAATGACAAAAATCCTATTGACTTCAATGGGGTCAAGATTTCACCCAAAGTGCTGAAATATCAAAATTTAAAATATATCGAGTCTGATATTTAGAATTCTTAGCCTAAGAAACTATGGTCCCCACGTACTGTATAACCACTGCTTTCACAGTTACACCCCTCTCCAAACCCTGCACCAGCACCTTACAGAACCGTCCCCCAAAACCTACATAGATTAAACCAATGAGAAAAATCTACAATGGAACACAGTGGAGAGCTCAGCAGTTTGCAGGTCACATTTATGGGACAAAGAGCTGCAGCAAACACCAAATAGTCTCCAGGGAGATTCCTTGCACAGTTGAGCCTTTAGATAGGCTGATGAAAGATGAATGTTTCATGATAAGAGAGCAGTACAATACTGTATAGGACATTAGAGTACGGTTAAAATATTTCCTCATACAAAAATCAAGTGTCCTGTGTTTCTAATGAATTCTCTGCATTTAGCATTAGCCTGTTTTTACAGAAAGTTACATGTTGGTAATTAATCTCATGTTCATTTCCTGCACATGTAAGACAGCACCCTTTGTTAGGGAATGATAAGACACTTCTAAGAATAGTAATACTAAGAGTGTCAGCTTTGTGAGACATTACAGGAAAAATACAGACTCCAACACCTGCTTTTCAGTTTTCACAGGCTTCAAAATAATTTTATCCTTATTTACTGCCAAATTCAGACTTTGTTTATGCTCACAAAACCTAACTGAGTTCACAGGGTACAAGTGTGAGGCCATGTCTACGCTACGGGGGCTACAGTTGCACAGCTACAGTGCTGTAGCTAGGTCGCTGTAGCTCCCATCCAGTCCTACAGCAACTGAAAGGGGTTTTCTGCCGTTGTAGGAACTCCGTCTCCCTGAGTGACGGTAGCTAGGCCTAGCTGTGCTTACATGGGATTAGGTCGGCATAGCTACAGCACTCAGGGGTGTGAGATTCATACCTTTGAATGCCAGAGATACTTTGACCTAACTTTTAAATACAAACCAGGCCTCAGTGAAGGCAGGCGTTCACCTTTAGGTCCCAATCCTGCAAAGACATACAGTGTGTAAAATTAAGCATACATGTAAGTAGTCCCAGTGACTTCAGTGCGACTACTCACAATGCGTAACTTTAAGCACCTGTAAGTCTTCACGGTGCCAGCATACTAAGGTGTAAGTTTGAAACTGAGGGTCTATTTCCTTCCCCTCAATATACCTTTGCTCCTTATCCCACTGAAATCACTGAGAATTTCCCAATGGCTGCAATGGATACAGGATTAGGAACCACTTGTGTGTATAACAGGGAGAGTACCTGATCCTCCTACATGGTACTCTCATCCTATACTCAGATCAGTATAAACTGGGAGCAACACCAAAGAATTCAGCTGAGTTACTCTAGTGTAAAACTGGTGCGAATGAGTGGCACATCAGACCCATGTGTTTACAATTTGCACATAATTTTTAAAATCTGTGAAAGATTCAGTACCAGAGTCTACATTCTGACAACTGGGCACAAAGAGCGGAGCAAATCTTTTGGATTAGTGTATGACTTCTGTCCACAATCACAGCATTCTGCAGTAAACACTTTATACTTATACCTACAGAGGCCAATTTAAATTAGTCACTCGTTTAGCAGCGTTTTTTTGTCTTTATATCAGAAAATTGTGGTGATGAAACCATAACAGACAACAATAATCTTCTAAAGTGCTTTGAGATCTATGGATGAAAAATGCTATAACTAGGTGTTATTATTATTACCAAAAATTACTTTACCACTCAGATTCCATTACCCACACTGTAAGCACTGGGCTAAAAGAAAAGATGTTAATCTTTGCTGTACTTAGAGCAGATTTGCTTCTGCTTTACTGTGAACAAGGCAGTAGTTTATCCCATTGACCAGAAAACAAACATTAATCAAGAGAGATCTAGCTAATCTAATGGCTCAGGTTTGAGGAATAATGTAGACTCAATTCCACTGGGGTTTGTAGTGCAAAATCTAGGGACAGCTTTTGCAGATTGCAGCTAGTTTTTTGAGCTGATCAGTGCCCCTGCTGTGACTATTATCTTGACTGTATAATGGGGGCTTTCAACTCCCAGCTTTGTCACATTCTGTTTTCTCTTCCTTGCCTTTTTATGAATATTGAGTCATCAAAAACAGTTTCACTGACAGAGTTTCTAATGCTACCAGCTGGATGAATCAGTGGCTTATACACCTCTGCAAAAGAATCTTAGTGTGCTATTTATTAAAGAAAATACTACAAAAACCACTAGATGTTCCTATTTATTTGCTGCTCTCTCAAGACAGACTTCATGGGTTATTTTAGTTAGAAAACGTTAACCGAACAAAGCAAATATCCAGCCATTTAAATGCACTATGGTGGTGTGAGAGGTGAAACTGATGCTTAGAATAAGTTTGATGTCAATTTTATCATCAGTAAATTACTTCTTTTCTAAAAGCAAACAAAAGGAGTCCATGGCAAAAGAGCTGTGATTTTATTCTTCATAAGACAGAGTGGTTCCCCATATTACTAGAAAAAAGCTAGCATCAGCAATCCAGAAAAAAAATGCCGATAAACCCACGCAAATATGACAAATGATGTAAGCCATGTAAATGGCTACAAAATTATGATAGAAACATATGGTGGCATCCTTCTAGTCTAGGGAAATGCTCGAGGGCAAGATAGATGGAAAGTGCACTACTTAAGTGAACATCACACAGTTCCAAAAAGACTGAACAAAAACACGCCTGAATAAGGATTTTCATAAATGTGCATGCAAAATGGCCCAAGATGGGTTTAAGTTTAGTGCTATTCCAAGCAATTTTTTTTTAAAAGGTCATTTATTTCTGCCTGGAATGCCTTCCTTTGCAGCCCTGCAGTGATACAGTTTCCTATGTTTGTACACACACCCTTCTTTTGCAGAAAAACAGGCAGACAGATAGAAAATGAAACAAGGGAGGCCCATTGCTCAGAATGCCCTTGCTACTATCCAGGCTTGGAAATCCTCGTTTGTTTTGTTCAGTCCATTTTACCTTTTGACCATTTGAAACTTTATAGCAAGGCACCTCCTGGCACTTCTTTATGACAGGCAAAAAGCGTAGCTGTGTAAATGCAACTGGAATGTTAATTTGGTCAACAAAAATATCCCAGGCATTGGCATTATCAAGTGTCATTGCATTACATAGCGTCTTAGCAAAGCATGCCACCCTCATTCAAGCAAGGAGTTAACAACCTTGGGACAGGAGGTTCTTCTCAGCTTCTGAACAAGGTACCCGAGTGACTGTTACAAAACTGTTATAGTTATGGCAACATTAACTGAAACCGAAATGTGGTTTAAACCTAAGCTCTGTTGCATAACATACAATTTAAGTATTCTGACCTTGTGAGCCTCAAAGGTTCCTTTACAAAGGCGCAAAAACATTACTGAAAATTAAATCGCTTAATAAGCGCATCGGTTTTTCTCTTACTGTTTTGGTCCCGACAAAAGCTTATATCCCTGACACATTTCAAAGCAAGAGTTAGACACGGAGCAGATGCAAAAATGCTCTTGGATGGAACAATATCAGGAGAGTCGCTTTACTTACATATCGCTTCAGCTTCTTCTCGGGGGGCGATTTAATGAGCCATCCAGTGCAAACAACGTCCCCCGAGCTCATCTTCCCCCCCTGTCAAAGAGAAGAGACCCGGAATCCAGGGTGTGCGCGCTTGTGTGTATTGTTCCTTCCCAGCCAATTTGAAACTAGCAGCAATCGGCTGCCTTCAGCTGTGTTTCCAATGCTGCTACAGCGCAAGGAGGAAGTCACAACATTGAGCACGGACACAGGCAGCTCCCCCCTCCCACGGACAACACAATGCAACACACAGAGCACGTGACGGGGCCGAGAGGACAGGGATAAACAAAAACAAGCGTGTGCAAAATACCCACACCCACCCTGCTACCGACACGCCGCCGGTTATTCTCCCACGCCCACCCTGGTGCAATAGCGTCCCTTCGGTTTAATCAGCCTGGCTTGGGATTGGGCTAGGCAGGGCGCAGGCAAACACACACACACGCCGGGGGAAGCCGGTGCGAGCCGCCAGCACAACGTTCGGAGAAGGAACCTGCGGCGGCTCCGGGCGGGCCAGGGGGGCTCTGGCCGGGGCGCGGCTCCGAAATCCGCTGCACTGGTCCGCGCGCCAAGCAGGGCGTGGGCTGGAGACACGGCGAACACCGCCTCCCTCCCACGCCGCAGGGCACCGGGTGGCGACAAGCGGGGCGCTGGAAGCCCCCCGCCTTGCAACGAGCCGCCAGCCAGGCTGGCCACAAGCCGCCGCCCGGAGCCCGGAGGTGTCACATCGGACCGGAAGCGAGGGCGAGGGCTCTGTCTCTGTCTCTCTTCGCGTGACATGAAGGGTCGCACTCCAGGCTTCACTGCGGGAGTGGAAATGAAATAGTCATCTATCCGTTTAATAGCGACCATCCCCATAGCCTCTGTGTGCTTTCCCCTATCAAATTAACTGGACTGATCAGCTATCTAGTGGACTTCAGCATAGGGGCTGGAACTAGGGGTGCTGCTGTACCCCCTGGCTTGGAGTGGTTTCCATCATATACAGGGTTTACAGTCTAGTTCAATGGCTCTCAGCAGTCCTGCTATAAAAATTGTTCCAACACCCCTGAGCTTCAGGAGTCTTCTGCTCTTCTCTGATACAAAGGTTCCCAAGGGCAGTGGTTTTCAAATTTTTCAGGCTACCTACCCCTTTCCAAATAAAGCTGTCTACCGTGTACCCCCATCTGGTCATAATAGGCATGATTAGATTACCAAGTCTTACAAAATAAAATGTGGTGTCCCTCAGTACAGCATTTTTCTCGTGTACCCCTGGCGAGAACTTGAGTATCTCCATGGGTAGGCATACCCCAGTTTGAAAAAAACACTGCCCTAGGAGTATATTCTCTCACACACATTCCCATGAGTTTGGCTATGGTGGGAAAGAGAGGAAGGGTCTGTGCACCCTGCCTTGAAACTAATCAGATGCTGGCTTAGTCTGAGCTCCTCTGGAAGCTCTCATCACTGCAAAGCCCATCCAGTTGGCAGCAATTTGTCCCCAGCTTTCAGATTCTTGGTTCTGGGTTTTGTGAGCAGAACTGACCCAGTGGCGTGTAGCTGCCTTGGCAAGTCATAGATGACATGTTGTCATTACATCCCGGTATTTGTAAATGTTGACCAGGGGAGACTGCTAGGAACAGCTGAACAAGTGAAGGTGAGGTGGAAGGTGAGCATCTTTTAAAGGAGGCAAACCCCTTTTCGATGGATTTGCCAACATGTGATCTGAATGTAGGGCGTGAATCTGACACAACGGAGGAAGAAGTGAGACATGCAGTCCAGAGTTTGAAGAACAGTAAGGCAGCAGGACCTAATGAAGTGACGGCACACCTGGTGAAAGTCTTAGGCGAGAGAGGCATAAAATGAATGAGCAGAGTGATTAAGGCCACATGGCAAGACAAGAGAATTCCTGAAGACAAGTTCAAGTCTATGTTGGTCCCAATGCATAAGAAGGAATACCTAAAAAAGAGAAGCACCCATGAATGTAGAAACTATGGAGGGATAAAGCTAGTGTCACATGGAATGAATATATTGCAAGATATCTTAGATGCTAGGAGTGGGAGAATGGTAAAAGCCCTCCTTGAACAAGAACATTTTAGCTTTAGGAAAGGACAAGGAACCACAGATGTGATGTTTGTAATTCAGAAAGTGATAGACAATGGCTGGAGTGCCCACAGGATAGCTTCTGGGCTTTTCCAGCCCCGGAAAAAACATACAACAAAGAGGATAGAAGGATGCTGATGCCAGTGCTGAGGAAATACAAAGTCTCTGAGAATGTAATAACTATGGTGACTGCACTATATAGATCACTTAAAACAGTGATCCAAACATGTTATGGAATTACAAGCACCTTCGAAGTCAAAGTCCGACTGCATCAAGGGTCAGCCTTCAGTCCGCTGCCGTTTATCATGCTGATGGACTACATCAGTAGGAAGGTCCCAATGGGAAAAGGTGAGAAGCTGCTATATGCAGGCGACAGTATGACGCTTTCCGGGGTTCCCAGGGTTGTAATGCACCTTTCTACTGCCTACCCTTAGTGTGAGCAAGCCTTGTCTGTGCCCACCAGGTGTCAGCTCCCCCAAACACAGGAAACATAAGCACTCCTCTTTCAGCCTACACAGGCTCTTCAGTCCTTTATCAAGGCTCTGCAGGCTGATCATAGGTGCACTCCTACCACGGAGCACTCCGAGCCTCCCCCGGCGTGTCCAGCCCCTTTTCCACTGGACCGTCACAGAATTCATAGATCTGCTACTCCAGAGGGACCATACACACCAGCCTATCAGTTTTACCTCAGGATCACAGCTCCACTCAACTCCCAGCACCTAGATTGGTTTATAGGGAAAACAAGGGCCTGCAACACACAGTCTCGATTTACTCGCTGCTTCCCTATGCAGAATAATTTTGCTGGCCATGATTTTGAAGCTATGATGACAATAGAGTAGAAGGCTCCCTTTCCTTCCATTACAGCAGTGGCAGAGTCCTGTAAGTAGTTGGTGATCTTGGCGGATAGACTCCAAACAGGTTTACACCAACCACATTCTAGTCTACTGCCTATCCACTTCATTCAGTATAGTTCATTTGTGAACCCCATTGATCTTTCCAGTCAGTTCAGGAGGGAGGCTTTCTCAGGGACAGGGCATTGGTGGCTGTGGTCACTGGGAAATTATAGTGTTTATGAGCAAGTAGAAGCCTTGTATGTGGGTAGTCGGCCTGCCTAAAGTGTGCTGAAAACATATGGGATGAAGAAGATCTTGGCTGACCCAGCTTTGTTGCTTCCTTTGCCTGGTAGAGGAAAAGGAAGGCCATAATCTTTGTCTGGATGAGTGTCCGTTGCTGTGTCCACACCCAGACTAAATGTCAGGTGCAGAGTGTGTCTAACTGAATAAGTGGGACTGGAGATGGTTTGCATGAATTCCATGGTTTTCATACAGGGGAGGAGTTTGGAAATTATGGCATCCTTGTATTGTCTACATGGAGGCTGCAGTCATCAGGAACAGTGAACCTGTGGGATTTTAGCACCAAGGGAGGAGAAACTGCTTTTCTAGCTGGCTATTCACAGTCTTTGTTTAATCCTGAGCTGATGGTGTCAAATTTGCAAATGAACTGAAGCTCAGCAGTTTCTCTTTGAAGTCTGGTCCTGAAGTTTTTTTGCTGCAGGATGGCTACCTTTAAATCTGCTATTGTGTGTCCAGGGATGTTGAAGTGTTCTCCTACAGGTTTTTGTATATTGCCATTCCTAATATCTGATTTGTGCCCATTTATCCTTTTACGTAGGGACTGTCCAGTTTGGCCGACGTACATAGCAGAGGGGCATTTCTGGCACATGATGGTGTCTGTTACATTGGTGGACATGCAGGTGAATGAACCGGTGATGGTGTGGCTGATCTGGTTAGGTCCTGTGATTGTGTCGCTGGTGTAAATATGTGGGCAGAGTTGGCATTGAGGTTTGTTGCATGGATTGGTTCCTGAGTTAGAGTTACTATGGTGCGGTGTGTAGTTGCTGGTGAGAATATGCTTCAGTTTGGCGGATTATCTGTGGGCGAGGACTGGCCTGCCTCCCAAGGCCTGTGAAAGTGAGGGATCATTGTCCAGGATGGGTTATAGATCACTGATGATGCGTTGGAGAGGTTTTAGCTGAGGACTGTATGTGATGGCCAGTGGAGTTCTGTTGGTTTCTTTCTTGGGCTTGTCTTGCAGCAGGGGGCTTCTGGGTACACGTCTGGCCCTGTTGATCGGTTTCCTTATTTCCTCGTGTGGGTATTGTAGTTTTGAGAATGCTTGGTGAAGATCTTGTAGATGTTGGTCTCTGTCTGAGGGGTTGGAGCAAATGCGGTTGTACCTCAGCGCTTGGCTGTAGACAATGGATCATGTGATGTGTCTGGGATGGAAGCTGGAGGCATGAAGATAGGCATAGCGGTCGGTGGGTTTTCGGTATAGGTGTTATAGGTGTTAACGTGACCGTCACTTATTTGCACCGTGGTGTCTAGGAAGTGGACTTCCCAGCCTAGATTGGTTCAGGCTGAGGTTGATGGTGGGGTGGAAGCTATTGAAATCATGGTGGAATTCTTCCAGGGTTTCCTTCCCATGGGTCCAGATGATGAAGATGTCATCAATGTAGTATAGGCAGAGAAGCGCGTGAGTGGACGAGAGCTGAGGAAGCGTTGTTCCAGGTCAGCCATAAAAATGTTGGCATATTGTGGGGCCATGCGGGTGCCCATAGCGGCGTCACTGGTCTGGAGGTATATATTGTCACCAAATTTGAAATAATTGTGCGTGAGGATAAAGTCACAGAGCTCAGCAACCAGTTGTGCTGTGGCATCATGAGGGATACTGTTCCTGACAGCTTGTATTCCATCTGTGTGTGGGATGTTTGTGTAGAGAGCCTCTACATCCATGGTGGCTAGGATGGTGTTTTCTGGAAGATCACCAATGCATTGTAGTTTTCTCAGGAAATCAGTGGTGTCACAGAGATAGCTGGGAGTGCTGGTGGCGTAGGGTCTGAGCAGAGAGTCCACATATCCGGACAGTCCTTCAGTGAGAGTGTCAATGCCCGAGATGATGGGGCGTCCAGGATTTGCGGGTTTGTGGATCTTGGGTAGTAGATAGAATAACCCCTGTTGGGGCTCTAAAGGTATGTTGATTTGTTCCTGTGTTAGTGTAGGGAGTGTCCTGAGGAGATGGTGCAGTTTCTTAGTGTATTCCTCAGTGGTATCTGAGGAAAGTGGCCTGTAGAATTTGGTATCGGAGAGTTGTCTGGCAGCCTCCTTTTGGTAGTCAGACCTGTTCATGATGACAACAGCACCTCCTTTTTTAGCCTCTTTGATTATTATTATATTATTTGATTATAATGTCAAGGGTTGTTTCTGAGGCTGTGGATGGCATTGCGTTCTGCACGACTTAGGTTATGAGGCAAGCGATGTTGTTTTTCCACAATTTCTGCCTGTGCATGTCGGCAGAAGCATCCTATGTATTGGTCCAGACTGTCATTTTGACCCTCAGGAGGAGTCCACGTGGAGTTCTTTTTCTTGTGCTGTTGGTGGGAGGGTATCTGTGTATCAGCGTGCTGTTCAGTGTTATCTTGAAAGTATTCTTTGAGTCAGAGATGGCGAAAGTAGGCTTCCAGATCACCGCAGAACTATCTCATGTTTGTGGGGGTGGTGGGGCAGAAAGAGTCCCCGAGATAGGACAGACTCTTCTGCAGGGCTAAGTGTGTAGCTGGATAGATTGACGATATTGCTGGG